TGAGTTTCCACTGCTTTGAACGATAGACAGATAAAAAAAGAAGCAATGAGGGTTTGGGGCATGGCAGAGGTATTTATCAGACATAGGTAAGATAGCAATAGCGGAAGGCTAGGCATAGAGTTTCAACTTCCGAGATAGTTAAGATAGGAGAAGCTAGGTTTTAGGATAAAGGGACTAGGCATAGAGTTTCAACTTCCGAGATAGTTACGATAGGAGAAGCTAGGTTTTAGGATAAAGGGACTTGCTCGTTCCGTAGGGTTTAGGGTTTAAGAGGGACTGACAGAGAGGAGGAGGTGTCGGAGGTAATGGGAAAGATGGGCAATAGCGGTTGGTTTAAGGGATTAGGATGAGGATGGGTGGAAAGATAGCAGGTAGGTTCTTTTGTCTTGCGCTATTTTGTCCTTTGTTACTCTAGTTTTTGTCTTTGTTCAGGGGTAGCATGAAGCTCCACGGGGGAAAGGGACACTAGACCTGAGTTCTAGTAAGAGCCTAATCTGGGTAATGGCCCCAGTCTTCCGGGTTGAGATGTGGAGGGATTCCCGGCCTCCTTTTGATCCATATATAATAAAGCATGCTATTTCCGTTAAAAAAAAAAAAAAAAAAAAAAAAAAAAAACAAACAAACAAACAAACAAACAAACTTTTGAAAGTGCATCCAAGCTCAAATTTGACAAAACTTATGATGATCTGAAGAGAGATACTCTTCCAACCAATCCCCACCCGCCCCTTCAGCAACTTTGCCCCCTTCCTTGCTTCCTCACCTGCACGGAATGAAATCCTTTATCCTTCCAGTAGTCAATGACCCAAGAAAGAGCCTTCACAATAGACTTGTGAGGGAGATTTGACAACATTTCCTTCATATCAGACGAGGCACCGATTACTTCATCTTCATCACTCAAACCTTTGTTGACTCTGACCAGACACTTCAGAAACCATCAGCGCTCCGCATGTTGAGATTCGATTCCCCGGTAGGTTCCAGAGAAGCGCATTGACTGCTCGAAAAACCGCTCGTCCCCCTGTTGCTGAACATCCGGGATACGATGGGCAGATTGGCCTCCAACGAGAAGTATCCTTATGCTTAGGTATACAATGCGCCCTTCCTAAACTCCCATTCTTCTTCCATCGTCCAACAGCTTGTAACCCCACCTGCTCATATTCACCGAAACACCTTTCCAGGACAGTTTTCTCATTCTCAAGACATAGGAGTCAGGATAGGACAAATGAAGGATTCTCCAGAAACATTTTCTTCATGCCAGATTCATACACCACCGGACAGCAGGCGAAGGTGTCCGCCATATTGTGGTCAATAGGGCTACGCACAAGATTTTGGAGCAGCGGACGAACAGACTTCAGATCATCCCCATAGATAGCAACAGAAGAGTGAGGCGGATTGAGACTGAGAAAGCAGCTTTTGACAAGGTCGTTGGTCAACCGAGAAGGGTCTACAGGAGGCAAGGAGGGGTGCAAGGAGAATCCGGACATGATTTGTGAGTGAAGGTACACTACTGACCGAGGCTCAGGGGGACGAAAGATATTTTTTTAGTTTTTTATCCAAGCTGGGAGATCAGAAGAATCATTCAATCGAAAAAACACGTCCTTCTACCCTAGGAAGGGAAAGATCACAATCCTTACAGGAACAGACAGCTTCCTCAACCGTCGAAAAACGCCGAAAATTATGAATCACGTCTCCAACACTCTTATTTCGGCACCAGACAACCCTCATCCGCCGAATAAGCATCAGCCTCCATTCCGGACAGATGTCCATTTTTGAGATCATCAGAGCACATAGCTGCCGAATCTTCGCCTTACACAGCCTGTCATCAAAGGTGACACGGATAACCACCCACTTCCTAACCCGGATACCAAGCTTTGAGAATATCACGTGAGAGAGAAGACAACGTGGCCGAAACCTTGATCGTTTCTCGCTGAAGGTTCGAATAGCAGCGTACGCAGCAACCAGTTTCTCACAATCCCAGACCCTCAGTAATCGTCAGCTACTCGGATCCCTATGAAATTCACACAACGGTGGTTTAAGCTCAAACGACCGACTCAAGAAGGGTACTATAGATTCAAAGGTCAAGGTCAACCCACCCTTCAACCACCCTCGTGCATGTCGAAGCTCAATTCTTCCAGACTCACTTGATACAATACTCCCTCCATACAGCCTCTTCACGACTTTCAATTGATCGAGCAGCAAATCACCACCAACACACCTAACAACCACATGATGTATAGAATGAGATTTGCAAGAATCCAAAATACCAAGGAGGCCTCTAGTCACCACCACCAGCAGAGTGGAAAGACATCAGCGAACCCTTATTAATCATGGAACTAGAGGAAGAAGGACACCTGTTCTTAACCTGCTTGCATTTCTTAGCCCGCATTCTCTCTTTCAATCCGGGACGACACCTCCGAGACCGCTGCTGTTTGTGCCTACTTTTAAGCGCCGGGGATAGCAGCCGGGTAATTTTTTTTTCAGTCACCAACAACTCTTCTGACGAACATCTACATAAAGGAATAATCACATAGGTATGTGTCCCACACCTACGTAGCCATTTATACAACTGCTCATTCCTTCGTCCGAATCGTCCCCCTTCAATCAAACTAGACTGACAAGCACGATACACACGTTCCCTCCATCGTGTGTGCAAATCCCTTCCAGTATTGCCGATGTAAAGATGTCGTGACGAAAGGAGAAAGCCGAACGTATACAACTGGACTCTTCCATTCATCATCCTCAAAATGTTGACAATAGAAAAACTGCAGAAGGAAATCAATTAACTTAGTGCCTCACGGTATTTGCTCAGCACGAATCAAACCACACACTGCAGCACTCAAAAGCGCATGTAACTCTTTGCACCTCAGCAATTCGAGAGAGCGAGAACAGATATTACTACAAAATTGTACGACTTCCCACAAGAAAGTCGCATTCAGGTGTGATCCTAAGAGATAGCAGAATCACACACGTCACCCTCGAGTTCTCCTCCCCGTCCTTGGACACCTCCAAAACTGATGTATCCTTCTCCTTACCTGATTCGTCATCTTCGTCATTGAAAGTCCTGGCTGCCGGCTTCTGTGCAATCAATTCCTTGGTCGGATTCAGCGTGGTGTACCTGACACCTTCTTTCTTACATATAAAGGCAACCTCTTCGTTCTTCATCTCCACGAGCCACCTGCTCCTTAGCTTCATCGGCATCGTGTTTGATCTTCATTTTTCCGACAGTCTCCTCCAGCGAGGTCACTCTTTTTCCAAGGTAACCTCCACTACCCGAATAACCAGCGTAAGATGGGACAGCAGTACCTGCATTGGACTGAGAGTTTGGATTAGGAGGTAGAGTCAACAAAGGAGTCTGGACTGGTACTATAGCTGTACTAGTCTTCACTGACCTCCATTAAGACAACGATCAGGATACGGACAGTGTCTAGGAATATGACCCCGCTGCCCACAATTGTACCAGTTTCACGGATCCATCATGTTAGAGTTGTTCGACTCCATTGATTGTGAAATTGTCGAACCCACACAACAGTAGTCTAACTTCTACGTCAGTTACTTCGTGTAAGCAAGTGTGTTAAGCAATATGCTTATGACATGCCCTAATGATGACAGTTCACACCAAGCTTCAGCATGGTAACAGCAAAGAGAAGGAAGTAAGAGCAGTAGTCAAAGACATCTCACAGTGGAGAGGGGGGAAAAAGACGACAACGACTCGTGTCCCGAACGCGACTTTATTAAAACGATAAAACTTGAAGCTCGGACATGGCAAATGCTTTTACAGCTCAACGCAACCAGCCTGACTATCTTCTATGAGGTCTGGCAGGCATGTGCATAACGGACGAATGCGATTTCTGAACAGTTCTCCTCACATGTGAAACAGTCAGACATTCAAGAGTTCTCCTCCCTCCCTCCCTCTGTACATTTCTCCGCAACCATATCAGAGCTGATAACTCGTCGTAAAAAAACAAGGTTTTCTTTCTTTTCTTTCTGTTTTTGGGGAATGTCGAGGGATGTTCGCGGATCAAAAGTTCGTCTTCCCAAAAAAAAAAAAAAAAAAAAAAAAAAAAGGTTATACACTCTCTGCCCCATATCCGTCTTTCCAGGCTGTATCACTCCCGTCTCTTATACACAGAAGTCCAGTCAAGCAAGTACCGTATGGGACTGTGTGCACCACGGGCATGGGAAAGGGGCAGACCAACGAGTTACAGAAGTATAAATCAAGAGGCAGGGCCCAGCCATTCATTCATTCCTGCGTAAGCCGTGTGGAAGCGCTGCCACAGCGACTTGTGCGAGGTGGTCTGTAGTATGCCCGAAGACGAAGTGGGCGAGAAGGAGAGTTTAGCCATAGCAGTACAGGTAGTAGCGGCCATAGCCGCCATAGCAGTACAGGTAGTAGCGGCCATAGCCGCCATAGCTGGAAGAAGGGTGTAGTGTATGTGTGGGTGTGTATANTCCCAAAAAAAAAAAAAAAAAAAAAAAAAAAAGGTTATACACTCTCTGCCCCATATCCGTCTTTCCAGGCTGTATCACTCCCAACACCCATCCTTGTGCACACCCTCCACCTTCCTGGGTTATAGTTCGTACCTTCCTCAGTTCCAACTCCGTAGCCGTCACCTGACGTGGTGACCTTCGTTTCCTCTTAAACCGCTAGTACACGGCCCCAGCCTTGCAGAAAGTTTTTGTCACCACAAGCAAAACTCGGAGGCACCCTGTGGCCAGGCCCGCCGTCGAAAAAAAAACAACGGCGGCCTCCGAAGTGGTGCGGGTTTCATGCTGACACCTGTACTGGTGCTTTAATCAATCTTTGAGCCACGCTTGTCTCTCAATTTTGACTTCTTCAGGTCCATTCCATGCCTGGATTGCTTGAGAAATGCCCTCCATCTTTCTGCGTTGTCATGGTTGTACCTTCCTCAGTTCCAACGTCGTAGCTGTCACCTGACATGGACCTTCCTTTCATTTTAATCAATCTTTGTGCCATGCTTGTCTCTCAATGTTTACTTCTTCAGGTCTATTCCATGCCTGGATTGCTTGACAAACGCAGAGCTAGAGCAGTTGACGAGGACTCTGGGTGTCAGGAAGGTTCGACCTTCTGAGCAAATCTATGGCACGGGTGACCCAAGCGACTATTTGTACATAATTCGCAAAGGATCTGTGCTCGAGTTGCCAGCATCCAGCAACCCAAGCAGTCGCCTAAGTAGTCCAAGGCCCAGAAGCCATCGGGGCATCCAAGAACCTAAATCCTTTGGAAGGGGAATGTACTTTGGTGACAAAGGATTTCTGTCTGGTGAACCTCGCACTAGCACAGTGGTTGGAGGCCGTCTTGTTATGGGAATGTCGAATGCGTCAGGGACGGGTTTTCAAGGCGAGAATACCGAAGAGTCTCCTGCTGAGGCATGGGTTGCTGAATTGTACTATTTGGATAGGTCAGTCATTGAGGCAAACTTTGGGCCTTTGGATGAGCTAAGGCACAAACGGCAGCTTGAGACCCAGAAGCAATCGATAAGACAGATGATCAAGCTTGAGGACTTGGAGGAGATCGGCCTCCTCGGAACAGGTGTGTGCGGCTGGCTTGGTGTGAAGCACAGCTAAATAAAACACCACAAAGAAAAGGACTTCATAGCTATGGATGGTTTAAACTCTGTGAATTTCATGGCCTCTCTTGTCAGGCATAAATCACAATTACCACACCACGCCACACCACACCATATGTATGCAAGATTCCATAGCTGATCCATTAACCCAGTGCGCATAATGTGCGGCCGAGAAGATGAGCTCTCTGCCTTGTCACAAACCGCCCAAATGGACCAGGCAGGAGGGCGATGTTGGGTAAGTTGGACTCGTCGTACAGATGTAGAGCCTTAAACCACCAGTACATCCGAGCTTCTTTTTGCTGTGCCCAGCTTTACCGAAACGCCAGTGCTGCGTTTTTTTTTTCCCTTTTCGATGTCGCCCCCAGCCATTTTGGTCCGGAAGCACTGTTCACCCGAAACCTGCAGATTGGCTTGATTTCGACTCCCAAAATTTCCTTGGCAGTGATACTGGCGTCGTCTGGCAGCTTAAGATGTAAGGCCCACTGATGCTGTAAGGGCCATGGATGGAGAAATTCTCTGCATTTCGTTTGCACATTGTATACTCACAGTAGGACTTTCCTGGGTGTATATGCCGGCTTTTCCAACCCAGCCAGCATGCGCCTAACCACACTTACGTCCACAGAGTAGAGGAAAAAGTTGAACTGTGAGTACCTCGCCCAGCCATTTTTCTCCGACACCGTCGACGACACGACCATTAACGCGCCCCAAATTTTGGCTGGAGCAAAAAATGGCTGGCATCGCCAGCCTGAAGAAGGCCCACACCGGCTCGTTCGTTTCTGGCGCGCGCCGCGCAGGGCATGTCCTGGGACGGAAAAATGCTGGCCAAAGGTTCTGGTGGTTTAAACTTCAAAGATGAATGTTTGCACATTGTGTCCTCTTCAAAGATAACCTTGAGAGCATGTGCAGTCTCACAGGGTATGGGACTTCAGCTTTCCTCCACGAAACTGCACACTACTTGCGCCAACTGGAAATGCCGATGAACACAGACTCAGCACAGTCAGATTCAGGGGAGAACATAGTGGATTGTGGAAGAACACTTGTAAGTTTATGAACTCAAGGTCCCAAACTCATTTGGCTGCTCGTAAGTTCATGAACCCAAACTCATCTTGCCACCACTCCTCATCACGAGTTATGAGTAATTTGGAAATACATTGAACTTGTTCAGAAATCTCAACCTTGCAACGACGGATCAGAAAAATTAACCATAACTCTGCCCAGTGTCTCTCTCTATTGACGGCTTCCCACAAAGGGCCTCACTCCTCTAGTCTCGACATGTGCAAAACGAGAGTGAATCTTCCGTTACAACATGGGAAGATACACCGCCATGATTTTTGTTGTTTGTGCATGTCGAGAGTAGTGGAGCAAGGCCCAAAGTATCACAGAAGCAACACCAGGCAGATATGTGCCTCTTCCCATCCAGTGACTGGATAGAAGGAACAACAACAAGCTGAATTCATATGACCATCTCCTGAAGTAGTCCTTCCTCCCAAAGGCTTGCTGTCACACGAAGCACATAAAAAAAAAGGCGATGTTCGTGTGCTAAAAGGATTTGAATTCTGTATTGGAACACTGACTGGCACAGGGCTTTTTGGGAAAGTCAACCTTGTGCTTGACAAAGCCAGTGGACAGTACTATGCTCTCAAGTGTGTGAGCAAGGATAAGGTAGGTGATCACAAATCACCTCTTTTTTTTTTTTTGCTTGTTTGTGTGGTCACAAGACATGCCCTCTCTCTTCTATTGTGGATCCTTCATTTTGAGCTACTGGATTCAGTGCATTCTGCAAAAGTCTCTCTTTTCCTTAAGGGTGTTTTTTTTTTGGGGGGGGTGGGATCGTGTACGAGACTGTCGTTTGAGTTGACTTCTTAAGAAGTTTCTGCCTCTTGATTCTTTAACTTCAGATCTTCATCTGGCATCATCATGGGTGCTGGTGATTTCTCAAAAGGGATATTTCCTTGTCTTCAATCAACCACCTTCCCCTGCCACCCAAACGTCGTCCATCCTACAAAATTCTACAGATGCCTCTTTCTGCTCAAGTTGCTGAGGAGGTTTGTCTGAGGATCAGCCCTATTGAGGTTTCTTTGGGGATCCCCAAACTAGCCTTGTTAACCCCCTGAAATTAGCGTACTTAGCCGTCAATTAGCCTTTTTCAGCCCTATTTAGCCCAAAATTATCCCTATTCAGTCCAAAACCAGCCCTGTTGACCTTTGTTTGGGTTTCTCCACACATTCATCATCCCGTGGGTGTTCAAAGTTGTTGGAATTGGTGGCACTGTTATGCGGGCACAAAACACCCAGCGGTTTGCCAGGGAGGTTCTTTTCTTTACTTGGCAGAAATTTACTTTTTCTTTTTTTTTTGGAAGGCGTTAGCGCTTAAACCGCCAGAACACGGTTGCAGCCCTGTGGAAATCCGTTCATCGCCTACTCCAAAATTTTGCGCCTTGGTCCCACCACACCACAACTGATGGCGGCGCTAGCCAAAAAGAAAAAAAGTGCACCACTGGCGATTCGGAAAAGCTTGGTGCACCCAGTGTACTGGTTGGTGCTTTGACAAATTGTATTCACCAGGGACAAGGTTCCACTTCCCTGGATCCTCCATTTCTGACCGTTGATCATGAAGATCAACAGTGTGGCATCCCACAGGTCCCACACGAGTCCCACACGGGCCCCATCGAGCCTGCTGGTAGGGTTAGGGGTTTAGCAGGCTTAGTAGGGTCCATTTAGTGTCTGGGTTAGGACCTACGCTGTAAGGGGTCCGTTTTAGTACCACACACAGGACTGACCAGGATTCTGTTTTGGCGTCAGTATCCTAGTTTAGGTGCCAGTCTCCTGCTGGGACGCAGTTTCGTTTCATTTCCGTTTTGCCGCCAGTATCCTAGTTTAGGGACCTGTCTCCTGTTGGGACCCAGTTTCGTTTCATTTTCGTTTTGGCGCCAGTGCAGTATCCTGGCCCAGCCACACAGCAGAAGTTTGAGGCTGGACTTCGGACAGACCAGCGCTATATATAGCTGGCCCTCGTACAGTTCAGCAGGTAGTATCCTGAGGTAGTACTGAGGCAGTGCCTCCATAGTCTTCAGTAGTCGACGCGCTCGGCGCAGTTGGATTGGAGTAGAGCGTAGTCTTCCAGCGCTGGGCGGTGCGTTAGGACACGACATCGAGCTTAGGCTGCAGCACGCTGCAGAGTAGAGCTGAGATGGGTGGAGGCCAGGGGACTTACCTGTCGACTTACCCGTGACAACATAGCTCCAGCTTCGTCTTCAGCACTTCCGTACCCGCATCAAGGCAACACCTTTCAGCAGGTCAGTACCTGGTACACCAGAGAGAGAGAGAGAGAGAGAGAGAGAGAGAGAGAGAGAGAGAGAGAGAGAGAGAGAGAGAGAGAGAGAGAGAGAGAGAGAGAGAGAGAGAGAGAGAGGATTATCTCATTCTCCCTCTTCCGCTTCTTCTTCTTTTTCCTCCTCCAGTCCACCATCACTCCTTTCCCTCCCACAGTCTTCATCTTCTTCTTGTTACGAGACAGAGAGAGAGAGATTCGTTATGTGAGACTTAGTGACATTCAGACTCGGATTGGTATCTGGACAGAGACAGATAGCGCGACTACTTTGGGGATTGAATATCAACGACAGTGGGGTTGACGACATTCTCCATCTTCCTCCTCCTCGTCTCCTCCCCCTCCTCTTCATCTGTGGATGCTGGTTGTCCTGGCACTCTTCGTCCTTGTGTTCAGTGCCAGGGCCTCTCACACCCTGATTGATGATGATGAGTGTATGCAGTCCATCTGGGTCATGAGTCAGATCTGTGTATCAGTCTTCCGCTGTATTGTATTTGCTCTATTCCTCCTTGGTCGGTTCTTGGTTCTGCACCATGCCCTGTGATGCTTATGCGCATGCAACAACAGTCAGAAACAGGTCTAGTTAGACCTCACCCCGCATTCCATCAGGATTTTGAAGTTTGAGCTCAATCTATTTATGGATAGCTACGTGTGTGAAGAAGAAGAAGAAGGAAAAGAAAACAAAAGGATAATAGCTACGTGTGTGTACTACTTCAAAGTTCAAAGTTCATACCATTCAGCCACATGTATGCTTTTTTTTTTTCTTTTTTCATTTTTCAGCCACATCATGGCCCACATGTATGTTTATCATTGCATTCTAGAGGTTTTTGTGGCCTTGATGGGCAAGGACAGCAAGATCTGTTTTCTGTGCTTAGGTTTTCCAGTGAGCACTTTGCAAGGAGGTGACTTCGAGAGCAGATGTTTCCAATCATCTTGAACACACCAACTTATCTCTAGAGAAAAGTCTGAGTGTATGATGTGTATTCAATTGTGTAACCTGTATTTTGAAGTCAATTCGAGGTTTTTTTTGCCTGTTAAAAGCTAAAACAACTACCATAGCTTACCCATCTGCCACGTGGGGCGAGAACCCACCAACTGTGGCAAGGTCCCGCTTAACCCGGATAGTTCACTTTGAGCTGTCAACAAAGAAAATCAATGCCCAGAAATGAAGAGTCCGGGCAAGCAGGAACCTGTCCCTGATCTTTCCAGATTCGATACGAGAATCAATATCAACGTATCAAGGTTTTGTTGCTGTGCTGAGGGCCTGGCTTGTCCAGCACCTTGAGTGTTCTCCCCAGCCAGGGGCATGATCAGTCTTCTTGATGAGGATGGGCCAAGAAAAGAGCCGCAGAGGGGAGGTGGTGGTTTGGAGGCGGAGAGGGGCGGGGGGGGGGGGGGGGGGGGGGGGGGGGGGGGGGGGGNGGGGGGGGGGGGGGGGGGGGGGGGGGGGGGGGGGGGGGGGGGGGGGGGGGGGGGGGGGGGGGGTTCCTGAAGGGTATGGCAGTCTGACAATCCTCTTCCCCTTTATTTTTTGTAAGGGGGAGTGTAACCCCGAATATGCATGACTCTCTCAGGATTTGAGCTCATGATTGGTTTATCAACAGCTACACGTGTGTACCATTCATCCACAACTTCCTTCTGTTTCAATGGGAAGAGGAGCGTACGTTGTGAAGTATCCACACTCAGTGACTCAGTCGCTCAGTCAATTGCAAACTCACTCACTCACTCGTTCACTTAGGACCACGCACACTTAGGACCACGCACATCTGGTGCTATGTTCATGATAGGAAAGCATGAACATAGCCATCTTTGTGAGCAGTTGCATGTCTTCTGACTGCGAGCATAGCACCAGTGAGGCCTGCCCTTGCTCCGCCACAGACCCCACCACTCACGACCTTGCTCTGAGGCAAACTTACTCCACCAGAAGTGTTTTCAATTGAAAGAGACTGATGCAGTTTGGAAAGACAGTGAGCATTTTTTCAGATTCGGAAAAACAAAGAAAGCAATAGAAGGCAATTGAGATTAAAAAAAAAAAAGAAGGCAATTGAGAGACAGCCACCTCATACTGGAGTCCTACCATCAAAGCCTGGCGTAGAACGATGCCAAGTAAACATGGTTCACCAGGAAACAGAGAAGAGGTTCTCAGACAACCTCTCTTCTGCAACCCTTGGATCACTGTCTATCACCCAATGGTTGCTGAACAGCGGTTGTCTCAAGACCTTGTCTTTGGACCTTGGTCTATTAATCTTCTTTGGCGAGATTTCTCTCCATATTCGGATCAAAGCAGTCCAATATGGGGTGAGATGAGTGACTTCCTCATCTCTGATTCCTCTTCTCGGTTTTCTCCGCCCTGTCTTGGGACTCCATTCCTTTGTCTTGACCCAAAATAGACCCATCATGTTTTCCGGGGAGGCCACTGGAGCCAGCGCTCTGATGCTGTCTAACACTAATTTATTCCATGCGTTATCCGGCTTCATCAGAAGCTTGATTATCCATTTAGCTTGGAGGGCCCTTGTTTCCTGTCTAGGGTCTATAATCCCTAGCCCCCCGTACAGTGGTTTCCTCGCGATATAATGCCAAGCGATCTTGGGAATACAACCTTCTTTATTGGGGTTCCGCGTCCATAAGTAGGCCCTTGCTCTACGGTTAAGTGCCTTCATCGAGCTATCCAGTATTGTCCAGATTGAGGCTATGTACCACATCATAGAGAAGACTGAGGTGTTGAGAACTAGAGCTCGACCTATTAGTGACGTGGATGTGTTCCCCCATCTCCCTAGTTTGTTAATTTGCTTTGTCTGGACGTTTTGGGCCATTTGGGGTGCCAGACCCTCCATCGTCATCAGGATACCAAGGTAACGGGTCGGGTTGTCCGACGTTTCCCACGTCATGGCGGCCTCTGGCCCTTGCAAATGAGGGAGGTCGTCGTCTGATAGCCACCTACCGTCTTTTCCCAGTTGATCCTCATCTATGAGGCCAGTCTGAACGCTTCCATCGCTCTGGCCAACATTCTGAATGAGGAGTCTGAGGCTCTAATCAGGACTGTGAGATCGTCGGCAAACATGATTGCTTTTGGAAAAGCCATATGATGGGCTGACCCAACATTGACTTCCTAGAGTCTGTGGATGGACGGATCCTTGTGTAGGAAGGACGCAATCGCTTCCATTACAAATAGGAAGATCGACGGGGCTAGTGGGTCTCCCTGGCGGACTGACCGGGAGATTGGGTAGCATTCGGATAGCAAGCCATTTACTTGTACGCAGCCTGCAGCGTCGTTATACAAAATGCGTACCCATTTCCTAAAGTTGGGTCCCACTCCCATCTTCTCCATGCTTGCA